TACCATTCCCTTTTCTGCCTTTGTTTGCTGTATTACATAATGTTACAACAAGAGTAGTGACTTTTAATGACACATGTACAGCTTGTAAGAAGGCAGTTGTATTAACACATGTGGACGGAATAGGTGTGTGTGTGTCGTGTTTGACTTTTGGTTCTATGATAGTGGATGAAGGACAGTAATAAGGTGTAAAAATATAAGGTAGTGTATAGTTCTCAATTGCAGTGTCGTTCATAATGACTAACATTTGTCCCTTTTTCCAATTAATGATACCAGTTATATAATCATTATTAAAAGTAATAAGGCCTGTCTATTTACATTGATATGCAACCTTAACTGTGCACATTTCTGCGTTATAAGATCTAACAATTTTCTGTGAACCTTTAAACAAACATAATGCATCGGTTTCATTAGCTGTAGACACATTTCATATGGGTAACTGGTACTTATAAGGGTTACTATTTGTCCAATTCATCCAAATGCGTTCAGTAAATGAATGATTGCATATTGCATGCTGATAGAAAGGTGGTGGAGAAAGGTTCTTGAGGGGGTGTGTGTGACGAATGCTAGATGAGGAGCTAAGGCCTAATTGGGCTGGGGGTATTGAAGAATTGTTCATCATGTCAGTCTTTTTTCAGAAACAAACAGGTTTCAAACTTGCCATTGACTTGTACTCATAATGGCATTCAAGGAACAATATCAGAGGGAGTATAACAACTCCAGAAAGCATAGCGCACAACATAATCTTGGTCTCAGGTACGTATGATCCTCTCAATCTACGATATGGTGTGAAAAGCCATGATGCTTCGCTGAGGAGAAATTCTTCTGTTTCCGAGCGAGGAGTGGTGTTGTCTTCCTTGGTTCCCCTCTTTGGACACAGCTTCACTCGGGATGCGTGAATCCAGATGTCATGGGAATCTGTGGACAGCGGTTCTGGGTACAGCAATCACAGTAGCAGGTGGTCCAAAAGGGTATCCTCCTTTCTTGGTCCTGTTCAGCTGACGGATATACACCTTGTCACCGGGCTGGTATGAATGAGTAGGTTCCTGTGAAGGTAAGGGAAAACTGCGAAGAAACATTGTCATACATACCATTCGGTTTTATCAACAATTCCTGTACATATTGTTCTTGTATAAGCTGTAAATCCCCAGACATTATAACAAGCGATTCCCTGGCCCAGGGTGTGGGAAAAGGTCATCCCATCAAAATCTCAAATGGAGATAATTTAGTCACCTTGTGGGGATTCATTCTTATCTCAGCTAAAATAGCTGGTAGATATCTAGTCCAATTTACCCATGTTCCTGGGTAAATTCTGGGCTTTTCCTTAATAGTCCTATTCATCCTGTCAACTACCCCTGTATTCTGTGGATGATAGGGTATATGAAACTGCCAGGTAACTTGCAAGAATTTAGCAAGTTCCTGGGCAACCCCACTTGCAAAAACCGGGCGATTATCAGAGCCAATCTGCAGAGGGCAGCCATACCTGGGAATAATTTCAGTAACAATAATCTTCACTAGCATCTTCCCTAGATGTCACAAAGGCCTCATGCCATCTACTAAACTGATTAACTATGACCAGTAAGTATTGCTGTTTCTTACCAATTTTGGATACATGAATAAAATCAATCTGTAAGTGTGTAAAAAGAGCAGTGTTCACACGATCTTACAAAAGACTGTACATGCTGCCTGAGATTCCTAATATAAAATGAATTCATGAGGAATTGAATGGTGCTTGCTATGTGCCTGACTGATGAAAATAAATCAGCTTGCTTCAAGTATGCCTATTCTTCAAGTATGCCTATTCTCCCCTCTTTAGAGAACAGATCATTTTGATCTTTCTCTAAACCTTGTTTAATCCAAAAGACAGATTCTGGGTATTTAAAAAAAGAATCTCATAACCACTGAAGCGCTGGGCTGTCATGTGTTGTGTGGTGAGATTTGTCAGCTGAGTGACCTGGTGACTGGCATGAAGTATTGTAGGATGCCCTAGTGTGATAGTAGTAGCAGTTTCAACAGCCATTGCACATGCTATCAATGCTCTGAGACACGCCGGCATACCCTGTACCGGAGCTCGAACTACTTTGGAAAAGAATGCTATGGGACGCATACCGCCTCCTTGCTCTTGTGCACAGACTGCGGCCATGGTTTTACAATTGTCCCAAGCATACAAATGAAATGGTTTACAATACACAGGTAGTCCTAAAGCCTGGGCTTGCACAATAACAACTGTAAGGGCAATATATGCAGCTAGCATGTCTGGTGACCAGCAGACATTTTCAGGGCTGTCAGAACGTACAGCCTCCCTTAGGATTGAGTCATAATGGGAGCATTCAGGGATCCATTGGTGGCAGTAATTAATCATGCCGAGGAAGGTGAGCAACTCCTTCCGAGTAGTGGGTGTAGGAATCCTCTGAATGACCTCAATACATTTTGGACTCAATTGTCTGGTGCCTAAAGCCAGAACAAAACCTAAGTATTCAACCTTTGATTTACACAATTGCATTTTGTGTTTAACAACCTTGTGACCTATAGTTGCTGACAGTATCCACAGTGCTTGCCTCATAGCTAGGGCTACATAACAACAAATCATCAACATTTTGCAAAAAGGACGGAACCATGACCGGTGGTCCATGTTTTTTAGAGTATGTTGGAGTACCAACGAATAAACAGCTGGGGAATCCACATAGCCTTGGGTAAGCGTGTCCAGGTAAACTGACAGCCTTCAAAAAGTAAAAACCATAAGTAGCTGTGTCTCTTGATCAATAGGTATAGAAAAAAATGCATTACTTAAATCAATGACAGTGAAGCAAGTGGCATCATGTGGAATGGCTGTAATGAGGGATGTCACATCAGGGACAATGGGTGAAATGGGCACAATTAAACTATTCAGGGCTCTAAAGTCCTGAACTAAGCGATATGCTGGCCAGTGGTGTTGGGAGTGGGTCTGGTGTTGTTCTTGCCTACAGGGCATATTTTGAGAAAGGTGGGGTTGTTGGGGTGTGTGGGGTTTCCTGGGGTGTGGACACTCATTCCTCCAGTGGCCACATTGAAACAAGTGTTCCTGTCTATTCCTCCTTGGTTACCCCTGCCCCTATAACCCTGATTTCCTTGTCTCCATCCCCTTGCCCCTCTTTGACCACCCCTTCCACGGGCTTTATGTGCTCCATCCCATCCTTGCTCTCATCCTGTGTAGCTGGACATAATATGTTGCAATCCCTGAGCATAATAAGCAACCTTACTTTCCTAAATCTTTTCTTAATTCAAAACTACCTGCATTTTCCTTTTCTATAACCTTGGTAAGAAAATCTGAGCTATCCAAATTGTCCCAGTCTGAAATCAATTGTTTCACAAGCAAAGAATACTGTGGCAACATATTACCAAGGCATGATTGTATTTTAAAGATATCTATATCATCTCCAGACATCAAACCTGCCTCATCCTTCCAACACTTGTAAAATTTCTTTACAAAAATCATATTACCAATCTCTTCCTTTGCATCTTGCTTATATGCCAAAGCAGTGAATATAGACTACCTATTCTTCCATAATCCCAACATTTCAGCTTCCACCTTGTTCCAAATTTTAGCACATCTTATTGAAGTACTAAGCTCATAATCACCAATTCATTTCAAACCATATAACTCATACTCAGCATCCAATGTAATATTACACGTCATCTCACAAAGCAATATCTTTGTAGAAACACATAATGGGTACCCAGCAGATATGCCAATACAGAAATCACATTTATGGGCACACAACTACACACTCTGTCTCCCTCCTAGGAAACACGGATAGACACAATATAAAAGCAATCTTAAACTAACACTTCCAAATCTCCAACTATTCTTGGCCAAAACACTAGTATTCAACAACTAATAAAACAGTTATTTGCTAGGTTATTTGGCTGTCATTCTTATCAGTATCACTAGACTGTGACAAACTGATTCACATATAATTTAAAACAATACAGCAACATATAAATTAAACCACTTTCAAGTTAAACTGCACACTTATCACACATTATCACAATCACCATTTACACAGAATAAACAGTTAACAGCTGTATTCAGAACATATTATTGGAAGGTATACCAATTTTAGTTTAGATTTATTTTAGGGATTCTTATGTATACATTTTCTTAATTAACTTCATTACTTTAATCTACTATAGTATTGTATTTAAAGAAAGGATCCATTTATATAGCGCGCTCATAACTCAAATATTTATATGAAACTACCATTAACTAATCTGAGATGATGCTGCATCAACTTAAATCTTATAGAAATTGAACAAACATCTGGACCAGATTAAACAGACATGGTTTCACCTGAATCTTTCAGAACTCTCAGAGACTTAAAAAATTTATACTATACCATGTTTTAAAGGCATGGCAAACCTTTAGACCGGTCAGTCTCCAAGAGCCCTTAGTAACACAGGTAAAAAACCTTTGTCCATGATGTCTGATTCAGGCTATATACCACAATTTAAAATAACACATAATGTGAGACATAGAAGACACAAGCAGTAGTTATTACACTGGATCATTTAAAAGGAACCTGTTGCAATAAAAAGGTTAGTTTACAGTGCAAAATAAAGCATGTGTTGGACCGCTGAAAATGTAAATGTTGCTCTGTTATTTTCAAACAAAAATTATATTTACAGTATGGATCCTTTGCAACAAACACACAGGGCAGGGAAGATGTGCTGATTGGTGTTTCTATACAATTAATCCCATACGGGGAATTAACTTTCAAATACTAATGAAGTGACTTTTTGTCTCAGTTATAAAATATACTGAGCTCATCATGCAATCAATGCAACACATTTACACTATCCCACTCTCATAATAAGTGTAGTGGGCTTATAGTATTTTTAAAGCAACAATCATTCCAGGCACACAGTTCCCATGTGAAATAACTTACAATAAAACAGAGTAATAAACTTATACTTCTATGCGACAGAAAGAATAAAGCAAAAAGATTTAAGTAGGTCTATCAGGTACAACCTGTGAGTCATTTCTTTTCTAATATACAGTACTGCTATCTTGCAGAAAGATAAGTCCTGCGCTCACTCCCATCACTACTGGGCAGCAGCAAGGACTACAGTACACATCAGCCCCAATATATGGTAAAAAACCAAAGAAAAACAAGTTACCTGCATTCTCTCCTTAATCCCTATGTATTTTTAAAACCTCCATTTGTTTAAAAGTACTGCTATCTTATATATACACATATACATATACACACACATATATACATACATATACACATATATACATACACACACATATACATGTACATATATTGGTCACTCAGGACATGAACTCACATTTCCCATACTGCTGACTCAGAGTGGGGACACTACTAACTTACCAAAGTGTGTCCCCAATATAGACAAACAATCACCCACAAAGAACACTTAAGACAAACAAAGGTGACCGGGAGAAAGAGAAGTTTGGGTTATACTTATAGATCTACAAACCGTGCTGCTCAGAACACCTATAGACTTAATAAACCGGAGACTCTTATGGTCTCAAAACCTGTATCTACCTGAGATACCCTGTATCTATCTTAGATACTAACCTGGGTTACCAAAACCCTATAATAAACCGGAGACCTCTTATGGTCTCAAAAACCTGTATCTATCTTAGATACTAACCTGGGTTACCAAGAACCCCTATATATATTTAGACCAAATGTCTAATAAACCGGAGACCTCTTATAGTCTCAATATAAACCGGAGACCTCTCATGGTCTCAATATAACTAGAGTCCTTACACCTTTCCTATCTACTGGATACAGACTTACTGAACCAAAGGGGTCATAGACAATCAGCGTCAAATAAGACACAAAAAGGCTACTCACCGCAAATGGTTTTGCTGATCCACTTCATCTATCCCACTTCTAGACACCAAGCTGAAAGGGTTAATGTTGTAATGGACTCTAATCCCCTCGGTTCTCGATCCCTCGGTCACCATAATCAACGTTGATGGAGAATCATTTGTAAGCAATAACACACGGACAACAGCTTTACAAGACTCTCAAATGAGTGTATTCCAGAGCTGGCTTTTATACATAGTTTGCTTACATTAGCCATGGTATATGCCATTCATTACAGTACAGACTATAAGATTTATTACTTCCTTGTATTACGTTATTCTGACAATGGAAAGATAAGCTTTTGCATACGTCTGGAAAAGAATATCCTTAAAATCGGAATGGGCAAGACATCCTGAAATTTAGCATTGTCTTACATCCTATAGAAGAAATACCTTAGTCTGTCACAGTCAGCATATTATGTAAGTATTCAATATCCCTTCAGTCAGCAATAATCATGTTATAAACCTTATAAAAGCATAAAATACATATAAACAAGTTAACTATTTAATATTCTTACATTCACAAGCATCCGAATTGCACAAAATTTGTCCGAATGTACATTCGTAACAAATTGTACATGTCTAGTCATTTAATTTTTTTCTTTGTTGCCATGCTTTGTTTTATGATTTTGATATTCTTTATTAACCTACAGCTGAATATAAATCCCATAAGAAATAAAAGAAATGTGTTTTGCCTACTCACTTATGTTTTCTTTAAAAATGGTACATATATTACCAATTCTCCAAGGGTATGCAAACTTTAGAGCAGAACTGTACTAGTTATGCCAGTCACTTACAAATGTCCAAGTAGAGAAAAGATAAACAAGGAAGATAGGAAATCTGTTTCAAGAAAAAATACATACCCAGTGTATCAAGGAACACTTGCTTATAAAATTATTAATGGAAATTTTACTGCTGGTCCATTATTTTTTAATTAAATAACATAATGGCTGATGAGTAATATTTACCGATCAAGAGTGAATAAAATGTCAGCAAAATCTTGCCAGAATATGGTGCTATGTATTATTCAAATAAAATTATGCTTTATTTTAAGTTAAATAACTCATTACAAATAAGCATCCTGTCTGTTGTAGAACAATGTCCTACAATCATTTGAGAGGCTAAGTAATCCCAGTTAAATTTGCTTTTAATCTATTCCCAATTGATTATATCCTCAGAGTTAATATTTGTTGTGAAAATATTCAAGGGGATAATGATTTGCCTCTTGGCTTCAGCTGCCATGTAATTATTGCTGCAAAGGGATATTTACATACTTCCTATCAAGTTACATAAGCCTGTGTCGTATGACAAACACCTGCATAACATAATGCTGCCAACTTATTAGAGATGCCAATATAGTTCCCAGCAAGAGTTCAAATGCAAAATGTTCTATGCGTGGGATAGGGGAAAGATTAGATATACAATGTAGTTGGTCATTTTTTTTTAAGCTTCACCTGCTCTTGCATAGTTACTAGATCAGCAGCTGATTTACAGATGATTAAAATCAACACGCATTTCATGGCTTATTTGCAGCAATGCCGCCCTTAAGTATCCTTTTTTCATAGGCGTTTCTAAATCAAACCATAGTTCAACAACCCTAGGCTTAGGATTTAGTTTGCAACTTAAATCCAGTGAAGCTGCATTCAGCTTAAACAAGAGCAATACTTCAAATCATACACTGTATGTACTGTGCATCCACAAAGTATTCAGAGCCCATCACTTTTAAATGTTTTTAGCTGTACACTGTTGCTTCGAGGCAGCCCACTGACAGATCCCCACTGACCATTTCAAGTCCAGCAGTGAGACTATTTGGTAGAGACTCTCCGTCTATTCAAATATCTACCCACTGCTGCTTCAAGGCAGCCTATCTAGTCGGTCCCCACTCAGTGCTAACAGTCGGTCAGAAATACCGGCTCAGGGCCATATAAATCCAGACAGGACAAGCACCCCAGTCAACAAATAATTAAAAACAAAGTAAGTGCATCAGCAAAAGACTCGCCCGACGCGCGTTTCGGCATAGGTATACGCCTTTGTCAAGAGCTGACCGGCATCTGGATCCTGGCTGTTATAAAGGGAGGTAGGGGTGCTCCCTCAATCCGATAGCGATCCTATTTAGGATATGGACTATGTTTACATAAGTGCCTCCTGTATATAAATTTGGAGCTTAAGGACAAACCCACCCCAGCCTTTTAAAGGTGTATGACTACTGTTCATTTAACTTTTAGATTTTTTACACATTTTGGGTTTGCACATTTTTTGTATTTACTATTTATTTGGCTTTGTATACCAATAAAGGTTCATACCTAGGATGACTTTTTAATTTTTGGAGGTCTGTTTGGGTGGAGTGGGTCCCACCTACTTTAAGTGGGTGGATTTCCCACCCCACTTTATAATTGTTTCTTTCTAATATACCCAGGGTTCACGCCCTTCAGTACCTCTGTAACCTACTGTGAGGCATCAGTGTTGGCTGGTCCTGCACTGTAGCCTCTTCTTTGCTTATCAATCTACACTTATTATTAATATACAGTTGCAAGAAAAAGTATGTGAACCCTTTGGAATGATATGGATTTCTGCACAAATTGGTCATAAAATGTGATCTTATTGTCACAACAATAGACAATCACAGTCTGCTTAAACTAATAACACACAAAGAATTAAATGTTGCCATGTTTTTATTGAACACACCATGTTAACATTCACAGTGCAGGTGGAAAAAGTATGTGAACCCTTGGATTTAATAACTGATTGAACCTCCTTTGGCAGCAATTACTTCAACCAAACATTTCCTGTAGTTGCAGATCAAGTGCACAACGGTCAGGAGTAATTCTTGACCATTCCTCCTTACAGAACTGTTTCAGTTCAGCAATATTCTTGGGATGTCTGGTGTGAATCGCTTTCTTGAGGTCATGCCACAGCATCTCAATCGGGTTGAGGTCAGGACTCTGACTGGGCCACTTCAGAAGGCGTATTTTCTTCTGTTTAAGCCATTCTGTTGTTGATTTACTTCTATGCTTTGGGTCATTGTCCTGTTGCAACACCCATCTTCTGTTGAGCTTCAGCTGGTAGACAGATGGCCTCCTGCAAAATGTTTTGATAAACTTGGAAATTCATTTTTCCTTCGATGATAGCAATCCGTTCAGGCCCTGATGCAGCAAAGCAGCCCCAAACCATGATGCCCCACCACCATACTTCACAGTTGGGATGAGGTTTTGATGTTGGTGTGCTGTGCCTTTTTTTCGCCACACATAGTGTTGTGTGTTTCTTCCAAACAACTCAACTTTGGTTTCATCTGTCCACAGAATATTTTGCCAGTACTGCTGTGAAACATCCAGGTGCTCTTGTGCAAACTGTAAACGTGCAGCAATGTTTTGTTTGGACAGCAGTGGCTTCCTCTGTGGTATCCTCCCATGAAATCCATTCTTGTTTAGTGTTTTACGTATTGTAGATTCGCTAACAGGGATGTTAGCATTTGCCAGTGACTTTTGTAAGTCTTTAGCTGACACTATAGGATTCTTCTTCACCTCATTGAGCAGTCTGCGCTGTGCTCTTGCAGTCATCTTTACAGGACGGCCACTCCTAGGGAGAGTAGCAGCAGTGCTGAACTTTCTCCATTTATAGACAATTTGTCTTACCGTGGACTGATGAACAGCAAGGCTTTTGGAGATACTTTTATAACCCTTTCCAGCTTTATGCAAGTCAACAATTCTTAATCGTAGGTCTTCTGAGAGCTCTTTGTGCGAGGCATCATTCACATCAGGCAATGCTTCTTGTGAAAAGCAAACCCAGAACTGGTATGTGTTTTTTATAGGGCAGGGCAGCTGTAACCAACACCTCCAATCTCATCTCATTGATTGGACTCCAGTTGGCTGACATCTCACTCCAATTAGCTCTTGGAGATGTCATTAGTCTAGGGGTTCACATACTTTTTCCACCTGCACTGTGAATGTTTACATGGTGTGTTCAATAAAAACATGGCAACATTTCATTCTTTGTGTGTTACTAGTTTAAGCAGACTGTGATTGTCTATTGTTGTGACTTAGATGATGATCAGATCACATTTTATGACCAATTTGTGCAGAAATCCATATCATTCCAAAGGGTTCACATACTTTTTCTTGCAACTGTATTGGACCAAAAAAAAATAAATATCACATTGACATAAATATTGAGACTCTTGCCTCAGTATTTACTTTCTTTGG